TGCCCCTTAAAATGAGATGTGAGAAGTAATATTAGCCCTTGGATTTGTATCTGATCTTACAATGCAGTAAACTTATAGACTAAATATAGGAACTCATAACCAATAAATCATAACTTGTAAAGCTCTCCATAATAATTACGAAAATGCCACCGCGTCAAAAAAAATTCCAGGTTTCCGTAATTATTTTTTTGCGGTGGCATTTTCGTAATTATTTTCGAGGGGTCTATAAGTTATGATTCATTGGTTAAAAGTTCCTATATTTAGCCTATAAGTTTCACTTCGCAGTTCTCAGCCTAAGAGCACTTCCTATATATATATGTGTGTGTGTGTGTGTTTGTGTGTGTGTGTGAAAAATGAGAGCCTTGTCTCTATTGTGTTAAGATATGTGGTTCCTTATTGTTGCATGCATTTAGGAGTAATTTTACTCCTATTTAGGGCTAATATGCGATTATTTTATGGAAATTATCATAAATAGGCGTAAGAAGGTTATGGAATTCTAAAATATGACACCTATGTTTTTTCTTCTCAAAACATGAGTCATTACTGTCACGATTGAAAATTACTGTCAGTAATGACATTAAATATTGTCATTTTAATACATAATACTGCAACTATTTTGACTATAATGACTGCAAGATGACAAAAGTATAACAATTCATTTTGGAATTTCAAAAGCCGTTTGTTCATATATATTCCGGGAACTTTCCAGTATTTTATGATCGAGTAGATTGACTAAGGTAGTTATATGTTAATTGCAATTCATCTAGTCAAGATGTGTATACAAAAGGGAAAACTGTCAAATAGACCCTCCTAGTATATCAAAAAAGTCAATTAGGACCCCGAGCTGAAAAAACGTCCAATTAGACCCTCTAACTATACAAAATAACAAAAAAAAACTCAAACTTATAATTTAGCCTGTTAAGTTCCGGTTAACGTGGCAGTCCAAGTGTCGTTTTTTTGCCTTTTCATTTTCTTTTTCTCTCCTCTTTCCTTCGATCCTTCTCTTCCCCCCCCCCTTGAATCTGATCGAGTAATCATCACAAGTGAGTCAACGGCCCATGGGAGGAACAGGAACTAGGAAGTGCTCCAAGCTCGGAAGGAGAGAACGTCGCCGGCGGCTCGCACCAACGACTTCAGAGGAGGAAGCTACAGATGGTAGAGATATGTCAACTTATTACCATTGTTGCTGAATTGGAAGGACTAAAAATTGATGATCGGAGTAGAGTACAGTTGAACAGGGGGAGTAGGTCCGGGCGGGTGGAAAGAAAACGACAGTGGGCAAGGAAAAGAAAAGAGGTTATGTCACCAATATTACGAGATTAGACAAATAGTTCTTTATTATCTGTTTCGCATTCCATTTTGGGACGTTTTTTATTATTTGTCTCTCTTTCCATTTTAGGAAAGTTTTTGATAAAATACCTCCACTTTTTTTTACTTTTACCCTTCTTACTTTTTGCAAACTATTTTCTCTTTCCTACTTTATCATAACTTTACTCTACTTAATATTCTCTATTTCCTACTTTATCATCACTTTATCACCACTTTACTCTTTTTAGTATACTCTCTTTCCTACTTTATCATTTACCATACACACTCTACATTTACCCTATTATTTTTCTATTAAAACCCGTGCCCAAGGCTAGCGGGACAGATAATAAAGAACGGAGGGAGTATAAGATATCTTTCTCATTTTTTCAAAAAAGAGACTACCGGCAACCATTTAGTAACTTAAGTATCAAAAATACCCCTGCCTAATTAATACTCTATATACGTAACTAAATACTACTATTACAGTAATACATATGTACTGCGTAGGATTCTTAAATCACAATGAATACGTATCACGTATGGACTAAATTCCGGAATTTCCATTGCCATTTCCTAGCTCTTCAAAATGCTACAGCCACTTTCAAGATAAAAAAAAAATTATGTTTTTTTTCCCTTCCAGAATTATGGTTATCCGCCTATCCGGCTACACGTCCAACTACTTATACCTATCCGCCCCACACATGTTAGAGTTACTAGTTGCCAATTTCAATTGGTTGATCAATTATATTACCCGATATGTTAGTTACAGTTACCCGATCCGATAAATTATAGTTACTTGACCCGTCAATTACATTTCCTCAACTCGTCCAGTTCCAGTTATCTGACACGTCCAATTACAATTACCCAACCCATCCAGTTACAGTTACCCAACTCATCCAGTTACAGTTATCCGACCCGTCCAGTTAAAAGTTACAGTTACAAACCCGTCCATTTACAGTTACCCGAACTTTGCGGTTACAGTTACTCGGCTCATAGTGACCTATGTCACAGTGACTATATTCCCAGTGACATTTACTCAACCCGTCCAGTTACAGTTACCCGATACGATCAATTACATTCACTCAACCCATCCAGTTACATTCACTCAACCCGTCCAGTTAAATTCACTCAACCCGTCCAATTACAGTTACTTGATTCGAGCAGTTACATTTAATCGACCCACTAGTTACATTTACCTCGATCCGATTATTTACAGATTTACAGTAACTCAATCCAATAGTGACCACTCCGGCCACCACCTTCAGCCAGGGTATCCGGCCACGACCACTGCATCCGGCCTCCACCGCCGGCAACGGCATTCGACCACGGCCATCGCATCCGGCCTCCAGCACCGGCCACCGCATCCAGCCACCACATCTGGCCTCCACCGCCAGCCACCGCATTCTGCCTCCACCGTCGGCCATTGCATCCAGCCACCACCGCCGGCCCCCGCATTGGGATACCACCTCCAGCTGTCCCTACTGCCGCCACGCACTCAACAAGTTCGGTGGCCTCCCCACCCATCACCTACCTCGCCCCACCCCTCACCTACCTCGCTCCACCTGCCCTGCGCCATCCTTGCATTGCCCCAATCCCACCAGCGCCACCCCTGCATTGCCCCAATCCCACCAGCGCCGCCCCAGTTCCCCACCTGACTTCTACTACTTGCAGTTGTCCCCAACAGCCTCCTATTTCGTTCTCTGCTACTCGTCATCACTCACCAGTCCCTACGAACCTAGTCTGCCTTGCCCCAGTCCCAATTCCCTCCTCTTTAACTCATAGTTGTTGCTCACACCCCTCAAGGCCAACACCGGAAAAGCCCCAAAGTCGTCGTCATTTATGGCCTAGCCCTCAATATCATCGACACATTCCAGATCTGTTGTAATCGTCTGCGACAGATCTATTGCAGTCCTCGTTGTCGGCTTCCAACGTACCGTCCCCGATACATTAGCACAACCGATTTACACGCTCAGCGCTCATGGAGAGCTTCGTTGTTGCAGCCGATTCAGAAATTGATGAGAAGGAAGAGGTTTCAGCGATCCAACGGTTGCGATGGTGGAACGATGGCAGCGGAAGATCGATTGATGCGGATGAATGTTGCCATGAGGACCAGAGGTACAGCTGAGCGGGAGACAAACACTGAAGAAAGGTTTTGCACTCTGGTTCTGGCTGCGAGAAAGAGAACGACGGAATTACAGGGGTGTTTTAGTCTGATAAGCAACAACGGGTCTCTTTATTGTCCAAAATTAAAAGTATCCATATTTTTGTCTTTTCAAATCCCACTAGTAATATATGTGCCATTCTTTCAAAAAGAAATGGGGTGGGCCGAAAGAAAAAGGTAAATTAAATAGGCAAAAAAACTAAAAAATGACATGTGGACTGCCACATCATTGTGATAACCAGTTGACCGGAATGTAACAGGTTAAATTTCAAATATGATTTTTTTTTGTATTTTTCGAGGGTATAATTGGACGTTTTTAAGTTCGGGGCTTAATTGACTTTTTTGATATACTAGAAGGGTCTATTTGACAGTTTTCCCTATACAAAATGATAGGGCATGTGTTCTTGTTTAAAAAATATCCAACGGGCCATGTTAGTGCTGCTCTTAGGACTCATTAGGAGCTCTGTTAGTTTATTCGCGTATAATTCGCGTATAATACACTCAAACGTATAATTCGCGTATAATACTCCCGTTTATGAATTTTTCAAAAAATTCGGAAAAATTCGCGTACTTTAAGAATAAAATGTATAATACACGTACCGTACGTATTGATACGTATTTTATTCCCGTATAATACTCTTGTTTATGAATTTTTCAGAAAATTCTGGAAACCTCACGCACTTTAAGCATAAAATGTATAATACACGTATTGTATGTATTGATACATATTTTATACAAAAACACACACCATTAAACGGAAGCCTAATGTAGTGATACAACTGAAACGAAATGTTTAGCTGCTCAATATTATTTATATTGCTTAAAAAAATTATGCCTTATATGTTCGTTAATTGTTTCATAGTCATTACATTTAATAAATTAGCTTCTTAAATTCGTAATCCTTTTCAATACTACTATTGTACTACTAATGTTCTCCACACATACCAAGACTCCAAAGAGATCGTAAAATGTTGTGGCGGCTCACGAAACTCACGGTCACAGTAATATCAACTATGCTCTAATAATATCTCTCTACTTCTACTCAAATAGGCAATGCCATTTTTATTACTTATTGTACTTATGTGTTCAAATCCGTATATATGAAAAAATTATTCCGTACATTTTAAATTGTTGAAGAATGTGGTTCAAATGCTAAATAACTTTTTATTTCTATCATTAAATTAGTATATAAGACACATATTATATGCCGTATTTTTAAATTGTGAAACGTTTAAAACGCGTTCGTATCTTTATATATTTCACGAACGTATGAAACATATATTAAGCCGTATTTTATATAATCGTGTCGTATTATACACGAACGTACGTATTATTGTATTATTCATGAACCGTATATTACTAACAAAGATTAGGAGTAGTCCCAAATTCAACCAAGTCAGAAAAATACCAATATTATATAACTAAAAAACAAAAACTACTGGAATATTGATTTATAATAAAATATACGTATATAAAGAATCAAATTGAAGAAGATAGTCAAGATATAAGATCGGGCACTTTGATGACCAGTGCTAATTATATTCAACCTATGAAGACTATAAACACGTACATACACTCAATCATCATATATTTATAATATACCACACACAAATACAACAAAATTAAATGAAATCACCCCCATAAATATATACTATGAATGTACCCATTATATTCCAAAAGCTAGCTAGCTATTTAATTAAGTGAGACTGTACTTTAATTCATAAATAAATACTACTACGTAGTACGGAGTATATTATTATGTATATACTTTTGTATTTCACATACAGGTTATTTCAACGACTCGATCGCTGAGATTTGATCATTTCATGTGGAAATTAAACCAGACAGAAGACCCGCGTTTCTCTCCTTTATTTTGTCCAATCCTATAAAAAATACTCTACCAATTAATAATACAATTTGTTTGTATGTATATATCGCATGTACGTCGTGCTACAACCGTTGTACAATGCGATGACTAAAGTCAACGACGGTGGGGCCCGGGCTAAGATCTTGCCGGAGGCGGGAAGAACGTACCAGCTGCCATGAACGGGTCCGGATAAGTTGATGAGGGGTCCACGTACCCGGACCCTCCGTGATGATGGTCCGGGTCCGTGGCAGCTCTCGAGGAAGCGGCGCCGGCCGTGCTAAGGAGTAAGCTGCTGTGGTTTTGCTGGTGGTGCGGTTGAAGTCCGCCGCCGGCACTTCCGCAGCCGGAGGAGGCCTCCCCCGCCGGTGTCAAGTGATACTGAGCCTCCTCGGGGCCTTCGTCGTAGAGGATCCCCTTGAAAAGATGGCCGCCGATGGTGACGGAGGCTTGGTAAGCGTACTGATCGTCGCCTCCGTCATCCACCGACCTCATCCTCACGCACTGGAACGCCGCTGTTGTGCTCACCTTCCCCGGAAAATTCCCCAGCTCTAACCCTAATTCAAAATTCTTAATTAGCATTCTTCATCATATTATATTTCTCCTTAATTATATTCACAACAAAATAATGTGGAATTTTAAATAGAAAGACAATGGTTTTCATTCCCTCAATAAAATTAATTGCTGAAACATCATACTTGCAAAATCCTCCTACTGCGTACGTATGACAATAAGTTACTCCTTTCAAAAAAAAGTTACTCCTAAGAAAAAAATACCTTAAATAAATTCAACAGTTCACTTTTCACATTTATTAATACATAACTTTGACCATTAGTTTATTTAAATTTCTATTAGTAAAAATATTACAAAATCCAGATTCTGAAAATTTATGATGAGACAAATTTAACAATTTCCCCCCAATAAAATGTAGTCAAAGTAGAACATATGAATAGTGTAAAATTTAACATGTTGCATTTATTTAACGACAGAGTACATAGTAATACTCATATTTTTAGATTAATTTTATAATTGTTTTGAATTTTGAATTACTTTTTCAGAATGTTCCCTAACAACATTAGTAACAATTATATTAATAACAATGATGATGATGCCTCCATTCACTTTTATACGACATTTTTTGTGTAAGTTGTTCATGAGAGTGTTATGGGAATTTACCCTAACTAGGAGTAATATGTTTATCTATTTCAAAATAGGACTATTCTATTCTTTTTGTCTAAATAAGTCTAATTACTGTAATGTTTTGACATTACCAGACTTCAAATATGACATTATTTTCTAAACTTGACAGTAATTACTCTTATTTAAAAAATAAAAACATGTTTTGAAATTCTCAAACATTTTGTAGTCATATTTCGAAAATTTTCTCGAGTGTTATTTGCTCCACTTTCCATATGATTTTAACAATTACGGGGTACTACTATAGTAATAGACATAAATATTACTTCCTCCATATATCATTATAAGTGTTGGAATAGGTTTTTCACGTAGTTTAATACTACCCCATCCCAAAAAAGCTAAGATTGATCAATTGACGTTTCTTGGTCAATGGTGTTAACGTTTAGATCACGATTTTAGGTATTATATTTGTGTGTAATTCATAAATGTTATACTTTTATGAAATAGTTTTTCATGAAGAATATGCTCATATATTTTTTATATTTAAAATAATTTTGTATTAAAAAATATCATTGGTCAAATTTCAATTTTGACCAATGATATTGACAAAGAAATGTCAATTTTGCCATTCTTTTTTAAACGGAGGGAGTATGAGATTTTCGGTATTGTAGTTGTACATTATATTAGAGTGTACTGTAACTACTTTTGAGATAAATTTATTTTCAAAAATGGATATGTGACAATTTTTTTGATGCGGTCCGAAAAAGGAATATGTGACACTTACCATCCGAGAAAGTATAACTCTTTATTTTCTGCATTTCTTTTTATCACAAATGCATATGTGTTCTTAAATTTAGTAAAATCTGCTAAGGTAGAAAATAGTGAAAAGAGACTTGAGAATGCTATTAACAACCGTAATAGTGGCCGCGTGCAATAGTAATGGTAAAAGTACTACATAGTACGAAGTATTTTCTTGTAAATCGGTCCGTTTGTCATGCTTGATACTCAGGATGTTTTTACTTGGAATGTAATTTGCTGGTCTGGTCTGATCTGGTCTGGTCTGAACTGGTCTGGTCTTGTCTGGTAAGGTCTGGTTTCTTTGTATTTTTATAACTATCCAAGTCTGGTCTGGTCTGGTCTGGTCTGAACTGGTCTGGTCTGGACTGGACTGGTCTGGTCTGGTCTGGGACAAATTACAGTCCAAGTAAAAACATCCTCATTTGTTCTATTTAAATCTTTACATTTCCTTTTTGTAACGTCTCATTTACTTTTTTATGTTTCCTTTTTAGGCAACTCCTTTAATATTAAATGTCTTAACTACCCTTTACCACTCACTCACTTTTTACGTTTGAGTGGATAACATTAATTCTCCTCAAAACTCAAAGTGCATGCAAGACATTTGCAATTATATTAATTAGGCTCCTAAAATATCATGTCAAAAACAAACGTCAAGATTCAACCGGGACGAAGGGAGTATGAGAAATACTGAAGCCAAAATTGTATTGGCCGGTAATCTTTATGAAAAGAGGAAGATACAATTATTAAAACCCCAAAATGATTTATTTAATTATTTCAAGGAAAATGGTATTTTTTTGGGGAAACTTGAATACAAAAAGCTAGCTAGAAAACTAGCTTTCAAAGACAGAGAGCAATAATAATAAGAATAATGATAATAATAGTAATAATAATGATGTACTACGTAATATTTAGTGATTACTTTATTTCAAGTAATCCCTAAATATTAGATTATTAAATAATGCATTTAATCATACTCCTTTGTCTCGAATTAACATTTCTCGTATTAATATAACATTTTCGGTTTTATCGACAATGGATGACTTACTTCTGATAAAACTACATTAGCTTCCTCTAAGAAATTTAAAATGGTATAAACAATTAAAGTTTACATCTGAATAGAAACTCTGCTGGACATTAAAAACGGGATTTAATGAAATTAAAAAGAAGTAGGTATGAGAAATCTTAAAGTACATTGTTAAATTAATTAAGTACATGAGTAGTGTTGAGACACTTATTCTTGGAGATATTATTAATAATATAATACGGAGTAATAATAATTGTAATTGGTTCGATCAATTGAGATGGTGTTCATAAGTTTTACAATAATAATTAATTCGTTTAATGACATGATATAAATCCGATGAAAATATATACACGACCATTTTTTTTGAAAATAAAATACACGACTAATTTGGTAAAGTATATAGCTAGGGAGTATTTGAAATAATAAATAATATAATCCAACAAAATAATAAACAAATAATGAAATGAGCAAATTAATTACCGGCTGTAGTTGCGGCTGGATCATCGCCCTCTGTGTGTCGTCTTTTTGGGGTTGATGGCAACTCTCTATCGAGCCGAAGGCTTTGTTGATTATTATCGCTGTGGTGGTGTCGCTGGTGCCGTTCGCGGCGTTTGGCGGCGGGGACCCACGTGCTCTTCACGTGGGTGTGGCAGGGAAACCCCCGGCTCTTGCAGCAAGTCCTGCACCTCATGTGCGAGCAGTCCTTCTTTGCCTGGTTTCCGCAGTCCTGGCAGCTGATCCCGCCGCACCGCATCATCGCCACGAACGCGGCCGACCTCGACTGGTTCTCGGAGGAGTAGAGATCCTGCACCAGCGGGTAACTGTTGAGGTGGTGGCGGACATGGTGCTGCTGCGGCTGATCTTGCCATATCTCGAACCCTTTATTGTTACTGTAGGCGGCGGCCGCGGGCATTTGCTGGACGTCGTCGTCATTCCTGTAAATAAACCAACTTTCCGGGTTGATTTCGCCGTGAGGGCGGTTGGTGGCGCTTTCCCGGTGATCTTGGCCGTTGGCGGTGGCTCCTCCTGTCCCCCCGCCAGCTAAAGAGAAAAAGCCGGCCATATATATATGTCGAATTCAAAATGACAGTTTAACTAATTACTGGATGGGTATTAATTAATTATCTTTCTTGACTCATCATCTATCTAGCTGGATGGGTGTAATTTAATGGTTTCTATTCTATTCTATTCCGCGTAGATGGATCGGTTGCCGGGGATGAAATGAAAGAAAGAAAAATTGCAGCTTTTTGGTTTTTCTTGGACAGAAGAAAGTGAGAGTAGACTTTTGGTTGGTGATATATATGGGAAGCATTTAAGGAAGGACGTACGAAGACCGGCCTTAATTAGCAGCTAGCTCTGCCACGCCGCCGCCATGGCCTTAAAGCATAGCAGCAGCAGCTGATCATGATCGATCTTAAAGATCTATCTATCTATCTATCTGTAGCTAGCTGGCCTGGATGGTTTAAAGATCGATCGATCAATTCCTAGCTAAGCTACTTCCTCTATCTCCGATCCTGTCTACTATACATATATAAATTTGAGAAAGAAAGAAGCCAAGCTAGCGATTGAAACTTTAGTTGTGTGTGATAATAATTCAATTTACCACGCGCTTGGTTAGGGTTTGCCCGCGATGGAGGTTACCTTTGTCATTGTACCAAGTATCACAATCACATATACAACCAAAACATATTCTTTTCATTCGTATGTATGTAGATATATATATATATATATGCATGGTCCGTTGGTTCTTAACTTTTAGGTAATTAAGTTGAAACCATCTACACTATATATGTATAGTACTATAGTTTGGTACTCCGTGCATCCCATTATTAACTAGCCTTTTCTTTTCAATAGCATAATTAAGAATATCAATTTTGACATAAAGTCAACTTCTATCAGGTCGAGTAAAGAGTAAGTATATTACATATGACATTTCTATGTATATAAACTCAGTTGTTTAGTGTTAATTGACTACAAACGTTAGATACATACGTCAATACGACCGATTCGGCTAACAGAATGCTAATAAGTTGACTACTTTCTCAAAGTTGACGCCAGCCCCAAGCCCATTGGTCTTTGCTTATATTGAACATATTTTTAAGAATATATTTTAGTAATTTCTAGTGACTATAATTATTTTTAATTATATATTGCAGTGATCGTGACACCAATATCATTGTAACTTTACTCACATTTTTATCCATGAACTTTATTTTGGTAATACTATAGTAAAACCCTTAACTAAAAATGCATACATCTGCTCTCTGTATTTATTACGTTAAGACTCTTAAGCTGCATCGCACCGATTGCATATAAAAATACAAACTCACGTGTAAAACTTTGAGTTACTCCTCCTGTCAGATTTATCTTCTGAAATAGAACACTAATTCAAGAGTGAATTAAGCTCTAATTCACTACAAGATTTATCACTTTTTCATACAAATAAGTTTTGTTGGGAAAGGATTGATTTTGTAGGGAAAACTCTTTACCCACAAAATAACTTTGTGGAGATATTTGTGGGGCAAAGCATGTAGGGAAAGAGTTTACCCGACAAAATATATATCTTTGTCTGGAAAGGTCTAGCCCTGCAAAATTCTGCCCATACAAATCACTTTCGTCTACAAAGTTCTTACCACACAAGTCGTAGTTTGTAGGAAGAAATACTTTTACTACAAATTAATATTTGTAGGCAGAGAAGATTGCTTCAGCCCAAAATTTGGAAAATGAAAGGTAATACTTATTTAATTTATGATCACAAACAAGTCAGAACTTGTTGAAACCACTCTATAAGTGAAGAGATGAGTTAAACTTACTCATATAGAAGTAGTTTATAAGGAGATAATGAGGAAGGCTATCAAACATTTTACTCGAAAAAATCAGCTTTAATAAATAACAGTAAGCATACAAAAAGTTCTATGTAATGTTAAAGAAAATAAAACTTGTTTACATATGATACTACATATGAATTTTTGAAAGAAAAACAAAGTAAACTGAAAATAAGATATTTTAGTAACATGAATCTCTATTCTCTACCATAGTTTGCCTCATCAAAATTTCCTTCTTCATCATCAACACTATTATCTTCATCTGATTCTTCATCCTCAATGGAAAGTGACACAAATGGAGGAATGACAACTGCATGAACTTGCTTGATTGCATAATTGCTTCAAAGAGTTATGTCAAGAATGCAGTGTAGTATTGAAGTTGTGCTCAACATTTTCATTTTTCTTTGCCTGATTCGAGCAACATCTGAAACTTTTCGAGGAGCATGTTCAACTTCTAGCTCATTCGACGACTGCATAACTTTTGCACAAGATGACCCACTACCACGAAGGTGACCATCAACAAGTATTTCTTCCAAAGGAGTTTCTTCCATCCTTTGCCTTTTCCTTGAGGTAAGCAGTAGTTTTAGAAACCATTTCATCCTATAAATGAGTAAAAAATAAAATAAAATTGACATTACATTCGAAATTTTTATTTAAGACTTGAGAGTGTAGACAAAATATGCCGAAACCACTAGAATGAAAGGAACTCGAAAATTAAATTACATAACACACTTGAATCTTTATATAGCATCCATAATTGATGGAATTAGCTTTGAATAGTCTAATATAAAAAAATGAAAATGACATTGTTTTGTTAAAAATCAATATCTTTAAATTTATACAATAGGTTGTTGGATACAATAAATCTATATCAAACTCATATTAATGTTAATTGATGCTACTTCAAAAACTGATCCAGTAGGAAAATAAGTATCAACCTAAAAGAAACCTAAATTAAAATTTATATTCACTTAGATGAAAAATATCTCAATTTTATATAGGCTGATAAGGAAAGTTAAACCAAAAGGAACATCTTACATGTTGTGCTTTATCTAATTCTCTGTGCTATCAGTTCATTTTTTTCCACATAAGTGAACTCGAAAGCATCAACCTCTGAAAATTTAGAGCCATCCTATCACAAAATAACCAAGTTATAAACACAGACATTTATTGTTTTAATCAACATACAATCATAAGTTCTTTTTTAGCAATCCTTTACCACCGCTATATCTTCAAGTATGATGGTTATGCTCTTTTTTAGCAATTCTATATGTTTAATGATGATGATTTCTACAAAACATATGTAAATTATATACAAAACAAGTACCATAAAGATATATAGCTTCCTTAACCTTAGTCTTATGCAAAAGTGCATAAACTGCTTGTTTAGAAAGTTCCTGCTGTGATAGAGATTGTAAATGTGACCTGAAGTTAAGCTCCTAAACAATATTTTCAAATATATAATTCTTAAAAAGATATTCTATAGGACTAAAAAAACTGTTATTTTTTTGCTTCTGAACTAGTTTACTCTTTTCACAAACATTGAATATCTGAAAAGTGAGTTTGCGAAAATATATTAAATTCCTTTTTAAAATTATACTTTTATTTGCATGCTTCAAAGAAAGAAAAAGGCACATACACATACATGTACCTTAACCTTATCTGAGTTGAAACCTTATCTGAGTTGAAATAGCTACACAAGTCATGCCACTGGTCAACAACTCTATCAACAATCTCAATTGGCATAATAGTTGATGTATTATCATGAGTCTTACATGACTTGTAATATGAACTCATCTCACCCTAAGCTCTTTATACATAAGAGGAAACACACTTTCTTAGGCAATTATTAATAAAGATGTAGGGCAATTAATTTCACAAAGAAATTTAAAAAGTTAAAATAACAAACAGAACAATAACTAAATTTTGGACTGAACAACTTACTTTTGAGGAACTTGGATTGAGTGCAGCTCTATGAAGAAAACCGTATCCCTGAAAATATTCATGGAAATAGAAAACAACAAAATGGATAATGTGTAGAATCAAATAGCACATATGGAGTAAAATAGCACAAGTGCAGATGCAATAAGACCCTTAAGCTATTATTATGTGAATTTACTGTTATGTACAAACAATAAAAATCACACAATATTCAAATGAACACAATACCCAACAATTTCCGAAAAGAAAAACAACTAGCTTAATTTCAGACTTCACTCAACCCTTTCCTAAATCTGCAATACACCAACTAGTTTTCTAAAATTTATAGCAATAAAAAGGCCAACATTAAATTAACCCAAAGAAAACAGTTATATCTCATTAATTTTTATCAAGTATGTTAAGATTTTGGTTTTTAAAAAACTATTACGCAAGAGTTTGTAGTGTGAAATGTTCACATATCTATAGGCATTTAAAATAAAGAGAACAACAAATTGGACATTTCTTTACCCAAATGATATGAAGAAACCCGGGATTCCTAATATTAGGTGCATTAATTTGGAAATTCCAAATTATTTGTTCCATAAATATATTTGGTGAGGAAGGTGTATAATATTTTCCAAATATATGCAAATACAGGAAATAGAAAATGGAAACATAGATGAATAGAATGCAATTCAAGGTGTACTTGTATTGTTCTCATTGAAGTGCTGAATAAGTCATCACCTAATTGATTTATATTTGTAATCCCATCTAAAGGTTTGTTCAGATGAAGTGTTTGATCACATTCCATGGTATTTGAATAGACAAATTGGAATCAAACACTAAGCCAAAACAAGAGAGACAAATGTACTCTGAAACATTATTTGATATATAATACAAAGCAAGAGAAAAGTCATTTGTTATAGCATAAAAGGTAAAGATAATAAAAATCTGAATAGAAATTTGTATTAGCATAGCAGTGATTAAATAATACGGAGTAATAATCTGGAAAGAAATTTGGTATACCAGGAGGATTCTTATTTGTATTAACTTCTTGTTTCTCCTTTAGGGGTCTGATCTCCATCTAAATGAATTACATTAAACTAGATAAAGTAATAAGCATGTGAAATACAATAGATGAAGAAATTAAGGGCGGCAATTCGTCGAGCATGAAACCTGCAGGTTGACGTTGCAGCAAAAGTAAACTAAATACTCCGTGAAGTGAAGAACGAGTCAATTAAATCAGGTCCCCCGTCTTTGTGAAGTACTATGAGCGTCAAATTGTGTCGGATGTGTAGAGTGTCGTTCCTAGTAGGTCCTCAGCCCAAGATCTGTTGATAATCGGAAAGGAGGCTATTGGAACTCCTTTGTTTGTACACACGCCGGGTCATTGAACCCAAGACGCCAACCTTGCTCTGCCATCAGAGTCATGTCACACCGGAACCAATAGCAACTCCAATCCCTAGGTTTATTAAGAGCTGCCGCGCCTGCGACCACGTACGCCACCAGCCCACCACAGCGAAAGCATTCTGAAATCAAAGGAGAAAATGGAATCTGAAGAACACGACTAGGGGTCTAGGGCACGCTGTATTTGCTATACTGCACTCCGTAGTTCAATTTTGTGAGAGATTTGGGGATAGCAAGCGGGAATAGAAGTTAGGTAGAATAAATTTGGGGAAATTTTCACAAATTGGAGCCAAATAGAATTTTGATTAGCGCTTAATTTTTGAGTAGCATTTTGTAGACATGGATAGAATACGAATATATTTAAATAATTTATTAATAAAAAGTACTTCCTCCGTTCTTTTTTAGTTGCAACGGTCAACATTTCACACTTGTCAACGCACATCTTTGACCGTAATTATATCTTAATCCCTATTAGTAAAAAATATTTAAAAATTAGATTTTGAAAATTTGTAATGAGATGAATTGAGCAATATAATTTTAAAAAAATAATTTTCATAAAATAATAATATAAAATGTAGTCAAAGTAAAACATGTGAATAGTGTAAAATTCAACATGTTGCGAATAAAAAGAGACGGAGGATAGTATTTTATTCGTATTTTGTAAGGCCCCTATTATATAATTATTATATATTACTGTGTATTATATAATTTGTGATCATTTCTTATTTTCACCAATCTAAACAGATTTTTTTATATTAAGTATTTACTCAAACATGGTCAGTAGTGGATTTTTTATTGTTCATATACCCATTAATTAGTACTCCGTATATGTTTGCTTAGAATAAAAATAAAATTAATCATAATTTGTCAGAATTTCAATGTCTATCATTATTACTCCGTATTGAATTTGTCAGATTTTCAAAATCCGTTTGCAAAAGTATACAGTATTTGGCTACAAATTTTGTTTGTGTAGAAAAGCTTTTCCTACGGATTATCACTTTGAAGGGATATAATGCTTTTGCCCATAAATAATATTTGTGTGGAAACACAATCCGTAGGAAATTAAAATACCCATACGAAGTACTTACTTTGTTGCCAAAGAAGATCTATATCCACAAATTTAATTTTGTATGCATGAAATTTGTAGGCAAAGGGTGAAATTCTACTAGTTATAACGAGCAACTAGATCATCATAAGTCTTAACAATGAGTAAACCGCACGACAATAAAATTGGTGTGCTCTAATAAGTCAAAGACCATTTTTTTATTTGAATATTTTTTTGGCGAAAATAAGATTTTATTAAGTATATTAAAAGAAAATGTCGAAAGCTCGGATTTACAAAAAACCCTGGTAATCTAGAATGTGATTTAAAAAAAAAACTCAAAAGAAGCCGCATGTTGTGTATAGAATGTACTTTTGCTATTACAACTTACAAGATACAGAGTATGTATCTTGATCCGTAATTGTGTTTCAAGAATCAGGACGTTGAGAGCTGTCTCTCGCAAACCCCTCACGGTTTGTTTCTTCCCAACGGAATTTTCTTGGTCTTCTCCTTTGATTCTCTTGATTTGAGCTTGGATATTAGTCATATTACCTTCAAGTCTTCTTTGGGGAGTAATATTTCTAATTTTTGAGCTCTTTCTTGAGTGATTTGGTCAAGATCCGAAATTGTGCTTCCAAGTTACTATTCACATACGAAGGTCAATGCATATATCCCATAATCTACTCGTTCGATTTTGGATTGGAACTTGGTTTTAGCTTCTCCTAAGTGTGGGGATTAAGCACATCAACTGTGTTTCATCATCAAGAAAATCCGTACATCTAGCTACTATTCACTCCAGACTCCATTTATACGGTTTCCTAGCTAAAAAACAAGGTACCTCTTCGTTACCTTGGCTAGGAGGGGTTGCTACTCTTAGCTTCCCCTTCCATGGTTTGATAAGCTCTCCATAATGCCCAAGCTCACGGGTAAGGAGAAAAGGAAGGAGGTACTACACCCTACAAAATCATCATCAAGACTTAAGGCCAAAGCTCAAGCAAGGGAAATGGAGGATGCAATCTCGGCTATGGACCAAATAAGTGACTCGGAGTTTGAGAACGAAATCCAAACTAGTGAGGCGGAAGACTTATCCAAACTGGAAAAGGTTTTGGAAGGAGTTGAGGTAAAATCCTCACCTCTTATAAAGAATGATGTTGCTGTGAAAACCATTGACCAAACCAAAGAGGTGAATGAACCTATTATTGAGCTTGTTGTTGAACCTACTGTGAAACCCGTGTCTATTGATAATGTGGAGAACCAACTTCAGCCGATGGCCAACATTGATGCCTATGCCGCGACATTGGGGAACTCTATGGTGACAAATTCTTTAAGCTTGAAGAAGACAGTGCCTAAACAACCATTTGCCTCACTGTTCAAAGATAATAGGGAACCAAGTAAAGGCATGAAATTGAGATACATTGAACCGGTTGGTGAGTATATTGACTTGTCAAACAGGATCATACCATCTATTACTGACTTATGGGGGGTTTTGCTTGGTATGTTACTTTGCCGGGAGGTTCCCTGATATAAGGCCCATACAAGAGCTTGATGCTAAATGGGGAGTCCAATGCCATATTAGACAACATGATTGAGGTTGGGTTATCTTCAAGTTTAAGAGTGAGGAGGCAAGAGGTAAAGTATTGATGGAGGGGCCTTATTCTCTATTTGGCAAATCCCTCTACTTAAAAGTCCTCTCGGATGACTTTGCATTTGATAGTGAGGAATTCCTCAAGGTTCCTATTTGGGTAAAGTTCCCTTTATTACCCATGCAAGTGTGGGATGAAGAGGTTATTAGTGAGATTGCCTCACGGGTTGGGCTTCCTCTCACAACCGACCGTGTTACACAAGAGAAGGCTAGATCAAACTTTGCTAGAGTCCTAATTGAGGTGGATGCTTCTAAGCCACCCCCACTACGGCTAAAGATCAAAATGCCTAATGGGAGATTTCATAATCAAAAGGTGATTTATGAAACCTTCCCAAATTATTGTTTCCATTGTAAAATGTATGGGCACCATTCATTCACATGTAAGGGGGGAGGACAACTAAACATTTTTAAATGTTTTTAGCTTCATGGAACGTGAGGGGACTTAATCAAGCCTCAAAACAAAATATTATAGTTAATTTTGTCAAAGCTTATAAGGTACGCATCTTTTGTCTACTTGAAACTAAAATGTCTACTACTACGTTTGAAAATTTTATAAATTTTAGATTTAATTCTTGGATGTCTACTACCAATTTTGATAAGATGAATGGGTTAGGATGGCTATCATATGGGATCCTAGCTTTGTTGATGGGGTCATTTTGCAAGTAGAAAAACAGTTTGTGCATGCTAGGTTTAATTGTAAAATTACACAATTACCTTTCTATGTCACATTTGTTTATGCATTGTACACGGTTGTCCAAAGAAGAGAGCTTTGGGAACATATCTCCCTACTTGGGACGAATATTTTGGGTCCTTGGGTTATACTTGGTGATTTTAATTGTGTTGGCTCTCCAAGTGAGAGGAGTGGGTCAGCCCCCCCTCGGGTTATTCCATGAAGGATCTTAATGATATGAAGATTCAATCAAATCTTAATGATGCACCTTCAACTGGGGAACTATTTACTTGGCATAGGGGTACAATTTGGGAAAAATTGGATAGGGTGCTTATTAATTCTTTTTGGTCTACACAAAATGTATCATGTAGGGTTCACTTCTTTGATATGGAGTGTGAGTTTGATCATGTTGCATCTCTTATGACTATAGGGGCCGAGAATATAGAAGGCTCAAAACCTTAAGTTCTTCAACATGTGGCTCAAACATGAACATTTTAATGGAATTTTGGAGAATGTTTGGAATAGGAATGTTGTTGGGACGGCTCAGTTTAGACTTGCTCGGAAACTTAAGCTGCTCAAACAACCTCTAAAACAACTTAACAAGAATGAATTTAGTCACATAACGGCTAGGGCAAAGGAATAAAAAAAGGAATATAAGAGAATCTATCAGTTAGCCCTCTTAGCTCCTCAAGATGATGCCCTAAAGGATGAGTTGTCTGTTGCAAAGAAAAGAGCTTTATTTCTAAAAGAAGCCGATGAAGCTTATCTTAAACAGAAAGCTAAGGCTTTTCGTATCATTCAAGCGGATAGAGGTACAAGATACTTTCATTCCATGGTAAAGAAGAGGCAAACCCAGAACACCATTGCATCCCTAAAATTGGAAGATGGAAGTCTTACCAATTCTTTGGATCAAGTAGCTACTGAGTTTGTATCTTTCTTTAAAGGGCTTTTTGGCACTTCTGATCCTACTCAAAATGTTGATCCTGTAGTGATGGCATCGGGTCCCACCATTGATAATACAATTGCGGCTGACCTTATTAGTCATGTTACTGATTTGGAAATTAGACAAGCTCTATTTGATATTGGGAATGACAAAGCACCTGGACCAGATGGATACTCATCAGCTTTTTTAAAATCAAATTGGAATATAGTTGGTGAGGACGTGTGTGAGGCAGTTAAGGAGTTCTTTGTATCCGGAACCTTGCTTAGGCAAGTTAACCACACGATGGTAGCCCTTATTCCTAAGACAAAGCACTCCCCTACTGTCTATGATTTTAGGCCAATATCTTGTACAAATGTGACTTATAAGATTATTACTAAGATTATTGCATCTAGGCTTGGACCCTGCCTTTCTGGCATTATTAACCCAGCATAGGGAGCTTTTGTGGACAGAAGATTGATGTCTGACAACATCTTCTTGGCACAAGAGTTAGTGAGGGGATATGCTAGGAAAAGAGTTACCCCTAGGTGTATGATCAAAGTAGATCTTAGGAAGGCTTATGATACGGTTTCTTGGGAATTCTTGGATAGTGTACTGAGGCACATTGGCCTTCTAGATTTATTTGTCAATTGGATTATGGAGGTGTTACCACCTCTTCTTTTTCAATATCCATAAATGGGGTACTCATGGATGGTTTGAGGGAAAGAGGGGGTTGAGACAGGGTGACCCTATGTCTCCCATGTTATTTGTTATTTGTTTAGAGTATTTCTCACGGATGTTGGACATTAGAACCTCGGTTCCCACTTTCTGCCATCATCCTTTGTGCTCTAAAGTAAAGATTTCACACCTTGCATATGCTGATGATTTGATGTTATTTTCTAAGGCTAACTACACTTCTATTAATGACTATGGCCAGGTCTCGGGACTTATGGTTAATCATGATAAATCCAATATCTTTTTAGGAGGGAATGTAGCTAATCAACTTCCCTATATTCTCCATATGGTTGATTTTCAACAAGGATCCTTTCTTGTTAGATATTTGGGTATCCCACTTGCACCTTTAGGGTATGTTTGGTTTGGGGTAATCTCACATGAAGGCCGGAATGTAATGCACGGAATGTCAAATACTCATGTTTGGTTCACGGGTTTGAGAAAAAATGGGAAAAGTTACATTCCCAGGAATGTAATATGGAGGGGAATCTTATAACCACCCATGTCTTAGGTTATCTTACATTCCCGATGATGGTCTAATTTTCTTCCAAAAATACCCTCAATTAATTATCTCTTTTCAATTAATTTCTTTATATAGTGCGATTTTATAAAATTTTTAATGTAGTTTCTAAATATGTAAATTATATTTACTAAAAAATAATCTTATTATTGAAAGAGATCAGTTAATTTTATGGTCAGTCGATCGTAGATTGTGTGACAACCATTTAAGCAGGACATATGGAGTATGTTTATTTAATTATATTCGAATGTCTATTCTTGTTATTTTCATAATTCTTTTTTCCTTGACATTTAAATTTTTTAAGGTATTTATTTCATAAGACTTATAGATTATCCTAAGTTTTTGATGAGTGGATTTCAAAATTTAATGGAAAAATTGATCATTTTTCGTTAATTTGAAAAGAAGTTTTATGAATAACTTGAACATTTTTTAAATTTAATTTTTTTGAAATAATAATAAATATATTTAGATTGAACAAAGTTTTTTTCACTTTTGAATTGGATCTACAACTTTTTACAATTAAACATAGTTTACTTAAAAATAATTCAATTAGGTTTGATTTTATTTATTATTATGATATTTCATTTTCTCTTTAATTTTAATTACTTTAGATGTAGGTTGTAATAGATTTATTGCGTTAACATAAATATTTAAAGAGCATTGAAGTAATTCACCATATCTGCAATATAAGATATCTTTCAACCAAGTAAATTAATATCACATTCCCTTAATCTTAACCAAACACAAATGGGAATAAATTGGATACATTCCCATCAATCTAATATACCCAACAAACTGACATTCACATGGTAATCTAACATTCCCTAAACCAAACATACCCTTAAAGATATATGCAGCACAATTTGCTCCTCTGATTGACACTGTTACAGATTATATAAATGCGTGGAACACAAAGACACTATCTTATGCAGGTAAAGTGGGGTTGATTAAATCAAGGTGTACAGTCTTTCTGGCTTGGCATTTTTCCTGTTCCTAGAGCTATACTTGATCAAATCACTAGCATATGTCGTCTTTTTCTGTGGGGTGGCAAACATGCAAAAGTGGCATGGGATGATGTATGCTTACCTATAGATGATGGGGGTTTGGGTTTAAAAGATACCAAAGTATGGAATAATACTCTCTTATCCCGAACCCTTTGGAACATCCATTCCAAGAAAGACTCTCTTTGGGTTAGGTGGATTCATGGAGTCTATCTCCATGGGAGGGATGTGTGGACTTTTGTTCCACACAATAGGGACTCTTTGTTGATGAAAAGGTTGGTTTTGATTCGGGATTTGATTGTCTCCAAATTCCCCTCTATCCATGAGGCTTTAGTATATCTTGGCAAGATAACTATTGATGGGAGATTATCAGCATGTAAGATGTATGACCTTCTTAGGTTAAAAGGTACTCCGCACCCTTGGATGTCTTTCATATGAAAGTCATATATACCTCCCAAATGTTCTTTCATCACTTGGTTAGCCTTTCGTAATAGGCTGGCCACGTATGATAATTTGGGGTATCTTGATGTGATTAACATTTGTCCCTTTTGCAAGGGTGAACCGGAAACGGTATCACACCTATTTTTTGAGTGTAATTTAACAGGACAGGTGTGGACAACGATAAAGACATGGCTGGGTATTACAAGACAAATGACTACGTTGCAGAGTGCTGTCAAGTGGATAAAGAAGGAGCATAGTGGTGCACATATCAAAGCTAAAGCCGTGAGGATATCTTTTTGCTATACTATATATTGGATGTGGAGAACAAGAAACGCTATTTGTTTTGAGGCGGCAAAGACCAAGGTGGAAGATGTAGTACACCATATAAAGTATATGGTTTATAAAGTGCTTTACTCCATATATCCGTACCATATGATTTCATTATGATTTTGCTGTTTCGTCACCATTTTTTGTTTGTGATGGCTAGCATGTATATGTAGCTAGATGAGTTTTTGAGGTGACTGGGTATCCTTGCTTGGGAGGACCCATACGTGTTTTTGCTATTGTACAAATGTACATAAACACTTTGGATATATATATTTACAGTTTATCCAAAAACAGTATGTATCTTGACTTTGTTTATGGAGAAAAAGTCATAAATTAAACTTTCCCAAATGGTCTTGTCTTGGGTAAATGAATGAAACCTTGACTTTGTTTGAAATGGCGGAGTTACATTATTGCAAACGGAGTATGTACTTTATCGTTTTCAAAAATCATAACTACATAAAGTAATCCAAGAAGTAATTTAAAGCGAATATATTCTTTTCTCCTCATCTTATTAACAACTTAAAAAATACATATATCATGTTTTAATGTCAATAGATTCGCCCATAGCAGCACATAAAGACGTGTTCAGTGTACTAAAATGAGTGTTGAAGGTGATGATACATTTTGCATTCATCAAAGGGTAATCAATGCTTGGACGAGTGATGACTGTGCGTAATGTGTTAAATTTATAATGATATACTTCATATCAAATAATTACATATTTATAACAAAAAGTAAAGGATACGATGATTACAACAGTGGTGTATCCAGAAATATTTTTGAGTGAGGACGAGATTAGACTAGAATTTAATCACATGTGTAGTATTTCATAAATAGCAGATCACATTATTTATATTGTTTGATTAGACTTAGTTTAAATGTACAAATATGTATACAAGAAGATGAATTTAAATTATGTATGTTCAAAGATGAAATTGTTGATCGATAAAATTTGCGAAAATTATCTAAATGGGTGTTAAACATTACAAAATTTAGTACACTATTTTATCCTTTTATTCTTATAATAGGAATATATAAATCATATATTTACGGAAGAAAACTCGATCTCTTAATCCTATATCAGAATTTTTTCAATTTTTAACTCCTATTTAAGATAATTTCCTATAAAATTTTAGGCTATATATAGGGGCTATGTGGGGTTGAGGGGGCAGCGGCCCCCCACTGCCCGGTCTGCCCCCCATAGTAGATACACCCCTAGATCACAACAATGTGATCTTTTAAATATAATAACTAGAGCAGCAACTTTAGTTAGTTATAGTAATTTGTGTTCAATTTTTACACTTATGTTTCTATAAACAAATTAAGAAGAGTTATTATGCTGATTTGTTTGGTTTTCCTGTTTTGCGATATTAATCCCGTTTCTCGAAAATTTTTCATGTATTTTAATTTTGGGTCAGGTCTAGTCCCCCCAAAATTCATTTTATCTTTCCTTTTATTGGTTGTTTCTGATTCATGTATTTCTAGAGGTATGCCTCTACAGAGAGGTTTTGGTCTGGTCCCCCTCTATTTTGTAATACTCTTCTTTTTTAATAAAATCCTGGCAAGCGTTCCCCGGCGTTTGCCCCACTGATTTTGGTGGTTTACCTTCCGGGCTAAAAAAAATGTTTCTATAAACAAATTTTATTTCAGTAATATTTATGAAAAAATCTCATAAAATATATTCATAAAAAAAAATCATGGTGCCCCATTGGTTAGGGTAAAAGAGTCACGTCATTTTAAAAGAAATACTACATATTTGTTTTCAATGATAATTGAACTTAATCATAACATCATAGCCATGTTTACACTTTAGAGAAATTAAACATTAACATCCGGGCCATCCACCAGTTTTATTATTGTGACTTTGTGAGCAAATGCACCTCAATATACGAACTAATACGTATATCCAATTCGTGTCTGGAGTACGTACTTGAACAATGTTACATTGTTACTCCGATTATACACTGTAATATAATTTTCTAGATTTATGACTAGGGATAAGGGATGACAATTGTGACTGAAACCATGGATACCCGCACCGAATTGCTCCGTTTAAAATGAGGAAAACCGCATTGATTGGGAAACGGGTACGGGACGGGGAATAGCCGTCTTATTTTTACGGGTAATGGGGCGATTACGGTTAAATACATGCCCGCTCCATTACCCGCCCCGTACCCACCCCGTTTATTTATATTTATATTTATATTATTGAAACAAGTTTGTCACTTTGTCCCTACTCCATAGTGCCTCCCTCTCTGTGGCCTATTGGCTCCATGCCTTCAAAGAAGCTACTTATCACATCAATCTCTTTCCTACCCCACTGCTACATCACTCTTCGCCCTATACTATTCTTCACCATCGAGAACACAATTACTCCAAACTCCAACCGTTTGGATGTTTATGCTTCCCATGGTTGCGTCCTTACATTCATGGCAAACTTTAACCATGTTCCGCCCCATGTGTGTTCATTGGTTACTCTGTCACACAATCCGCCTACAAATGTTTGGAACCCATCTCTCATCATATTTACATCTCTCATCATGTACGCTTGTGCTGTCAGTCATTCCTTACTCTTCTCTAACATAAACCATAACTGTCACCCACAACACCCCAGACACTATCAGTCCAATCACCCTGCCATGTTCCACTCACATACCCCGTTCCCGATCCACAACGAAAGGCCCACTGCCCTCACCGACACACACCCAGTTCCCACCCCACACCCCTGCATGCCCCAGTCCCTAATCCTCCACTCCCCATACCTAACTCTCCAATCCGCGCCTAACTCTATTCTCGCCTCCCCTTCTGCCCCAGCTCCTCCCACCCTGAACCATCCTTCCTCCCCGACAACCCGTCAATGAAACCCAGCCCCAAACATTTTGACCCTTTCTTTGTCAATGTCTTGACAATTCACCCACTCCTAGCTACTCCAATTCCCCACAGTATCAAACACGCAATCAAAGACCCACTTTGGCAACAAGCAATGGATGATGAATATAGAGCACTGATACACAACAACACTTGGACTCTTGTTCCTTGGAGTGATCAAACTCTTACTTGTAAATGGCTATTTCGCGTAAAGCGTAAACCTGATGGCTCAGTCGATCGATACAAAACTCGATTAGTGGCCAAAGGTTATGCTCAAGAGACTGGTCGTGATTATTTCGAAACATTCAGCCCTGTCATGAAGCCTGTCACTGTCTGTATCATCCTTACCCTTGCCCACATACATGCCTGGTCTCTCCGCCAACTCGACGTCAACAATGCATTTCTCAATGGCACTCTCAATGAAACAGTCTACCTTGAGCAACCATCGGACTACGTTGATCCAGTATACTCCACTCACGTATGTTGTGTATAGAGAGCTCTCTATGGCCTCAAACAAGCGCCTCGTTCTTGGTATAATGAGCTATCTGCCTTTTTGGTTAAGTCTGGGTTCTACAAGTCACGTGCCGACACCTCCCTGTTTATTTACACCTCTCACAATGTAATGATGTACTTCTACAAACCTTCTTTACCATACTTCTTCCTTTTCAAAAAATGTTGTCATATAAACACTACATTAATATTATCCACAATAGACCTCCAGGGAATAAAAGCACTCTGGTTCTCCCCAATTAAAGAACCCAATATCCCTCTCAGTCTATTAGCCAACACCTTTAAAAAAAATTATATACGACATTACATAGGGCTATAGGTCTCCAATACCCTATATTATCAGGTTTCTCCTTCTTGGGAATATACCTGTACAAAGCCGAACAACCTCCGGACCCACAATATTCCATAACTTCTGAAAAAATGCCGGATTCATACCATCTGATCCTGGCACTTTTTCGGGATGCATACCGAGAATTGCCGCCTTAACCTCCTCCGGTGTAATAACTCGAAACAACCATTTGTTATGCTCATTTCTCACCCTCCGAAATTGCCCCATCTCCTCCCCCATTGTCGGCGACCCCTGCTCAACAAATAAATTAGTAAAATAATTTCGCACCATATCTTCCACCTCGCCCCTGCCCGTGATCCACAGACCATCCTCCCTGTGCAAACCCACCGTTTTGTTTTTCCTCCTCCGAGCTTTAACTGCATTGTGAAAAAACTGAGAGTTAATGCTTTTGCTCTCTGCCTCCAGTAATGATTCTCTTTTTCCAGCAAAATATGTAGCACCGTGCGGATCCGAATAAACTCAGCCGTGCTAATCGAATCATCTTATCCCCTCAACCAAGACAATCGTTTTTTATGTGCGTTAATCTGATGTCGAAAACCCTTCGAACGACAGCCATCCCACCACAATAATTCTTTGCCGCAAAATAAAATCCTGTCACTGACAGTCATGCTCGAGCTACCACTCCAACTATGAACAACAATGGTGCAGCATTCATCTGGCCTCTTTCAGCCAGCTATTCTCAAATCAAAACATTTTTGTTGTCCTTCCATGCAAAGTAGGAACATTATTTACCCATAAAGCCATGTGATCGCTAATGGGGGCTTCGACCGAAGTGGCACGAGCCGCCATAAAGCTATCCCGCCATTGATCGTTGACAAGGATTTGATCCAACTTCTCTTCCACCCAATTTATTGAGTCTTTCCCCCACTCCCAGGTCCACTGATATCCCAGGAAATCCCTCAGGCCACTAGATAAAACTGCTTCATGAAAACCGCAGATTTTCCATCCTGGGTGAGGTATTCTTCCCTTCTTCTCCGATCCGATTCATACAAAATATCATTCATATCACCAATGACCATCCATGGAAGAGAATTATTCTCGGCTAACCCCATACTGATGTTCCATGCTTCTCTTCGCCGTCTCGCCTCCGAGAATGCATAATAACATGTAAACCTCCATGTAATTCCGCCCTCCACCAAACACACCTGGCAGTAAAAAAAGTTTGGATGTTCCGCCGTGATAGTAACGTCGACTTCCTCATTCCATCCAATTGCTAAGCCACCAGCCCACCACTACGACCGTCACAATCCATCCCTGCCATATGATCGAGCTAAGCCCTGCGCCCTTAATAATTCTTTCGCTCGTTGACATCAGATCTTCGACTCCATGAGGAAAATAATCAAATTAAACGTCTATATTGTTGAACAATATCCGTCAAGCCTTGAATCGTGGTCGGATTTCCCAGCTCTCTACAATTCCATGCTTCTCTTCGCCGTCTCGCCTCCGAGAATGCATAATAACATGTAAACCTCCATGTAATTCCGCCCTCCATCAAATTAAACGTCTATATTGTTGAACAATATCCGTCAAGCCTTGAATCGTGGTCGGATTTCCCAGCTCTCTACAATTCCATGCTTCTCTTCGCCGTCTCGCCTCCGAGAATGCATAATAACATGTAA